TTCACAAGATCCTTCTTCTTATCAATATTACTAGTAATATTAGTAGTAGTAGTAGTAGTAGTAATAGTAGTAGTGTGTTTTCTTCGTACTATTATTATGATTCTTAATAGCGTTCGTAGTCTTATTAATGTTATTCGTCGTCTTATTCTTAGTATTCTTATTCTTAATATTAGTATCAGTATTAGTAATAAATCGCATTGCTAATCATATTATTATAAATAGTATTCCTCCTCCTCCTCCTTTTCCTCCGTCTCCTCATCCTCCTCTTCCTCGCCCACGTGTTCCCGAAAGGTTTCCACAGCGGCTCGGGTTACACCTGGCCCGATACTTCGTTCAAGCTCTGGACACAAACAATTTGCCACAGAGGCGCTTTTCAAAAAGGCAGGGGGCGGCGGAGATCTGCCGTAGGCGTCTTCGATATGCGTGTATAAAGAGAAAGGAATGGAGAGAGAGAGAGAGCGAGCGAGCGAGATAGAGAGAGGTAAAATAGAGAGAGAGAGAGAGATAAAAAAAAGAGAGAGAGAGAGAGAGAGAGAACGGGAGAGAGGAAACATGTGATTAAAAAGTGGTAGGCATAGAGAGAGATGGGATGCAGCGAGATACCGAAAGGGGAAACAGAAGACGTATCACAGGCAGAGGAGGGGGGAACTGGAGAGGCAAAGGGACAGATGACAGGCCGACAAGCCAGAGGGTTACGCCGACAGTAAAAGCAAGTACGCAGTTAGCTTTTCGCGGCAACCTCTGATTCCAGCCAGACTGGATGATCGGACGGGCGCCATGGAGGGGCTGTTCCCTGACGGGGCCTCGCGAAGGACATGCGACCGAGCAAAAAGCACCAGGGGGCGACTCTGGAAACGACTACGACACCGACCCCGGGGAGGCAGCGCGGGAACCAGGACAGCCAGAAACAGGCCCGAAGGCCACGGCGCGCGGACCTGGGCTGGTCGCAAGGGGGAGGTGCGGTGGGGGCTCGAGCGACGCAGGCGCCGTCCGAGCGGCTGCGAAGGTCGAGCTGCACTTTTCCAGACTCGGGCGGGCAACGCCGCGCTCGCGCCGCGGTGGTTTGAAAAACTCGTGGGGAGAGGCGGCCTTCGAGGGCCCCCTCAGACACGGCAAAACTAACGCAACACTGGACGCGCCGCTCGAGGGCCACGAGGGGGGCGCATACATAGCCCAGGGGGGAGAGCACTGCACCCCAGGGCGCCGACGATCTCCACGCCCTCGGCGAGGCTCCCCGGCGGGCGCGCAGCAGGCCCCCGCCCCTGGGGCCGCTCGCCCCTGCCGCCGCCTCGGAGCCCCGCCCTGCCCGACCGCTGGCCACCACGGCCCCCGCCGTCCCGGCGCGCAGCGCGGGGCGACGGACTCGGGAGCGGCCAAGAGGGGGGGTGTCCAAGAGGGGGGGGTGCAAATCATGACCGGCGGCATGTGCGCGGCCCAGCGTGGGGGCCAGGGACGTGATGAAATAAGAAGAGGCGCCATCAAATCTGGGGAAACATCATGGCCCCCGCCACGATATCCGCCCCCTCCTAGTCATCACCCCCCTCTCTTCCGCCCCCGACGGACGGCCCTCCCAGCAGCCACCCCGGGGTCCCATCCGGCCCTCCGGCGACTCGAACCTTCGAGCCGTTGCCCACCCCCCCCCGAGACCGCTCGACCCTTTCGAGTGCCAGCCTCTCATCCCTTGTCGTTGTGCTTCGGCTCTACTCCGTAGCCACTTGTTGCATGCACGTCGTTTTCGGCACCGCCTGATCCCGAGGCTTTGCCTCCTCCTGGCCTTGATGTGAGGCCGCGCTCCTTCTGTCCCCCCCTCTTTGTTAATTCAAGCTTCGCGCGGCCCGCTTAGCTTCGACCGGAAGAGGTGCGCTCTCGACCCGCGAATCAAAAAAAGTTTCGGCTCTACTGCTGGGTGGCTGGAAACAGGCAGGCCGCCTCAGAGAGCCGCGCAGAGGGGGCGCGAGAGGGCCGTGCAATACCCCCCTGGCGCCCCCCCTTGAGGGGCCCAAATACAATGCCTGCCATATCGCGGTGAGCAGTGGACCACCACAGAAGCAAATTCTGGGGGGCTGAAACGAGCAAACCGCCTGAGACATCCCGGCAATATGGGCGCGAACGGGCCCGTGCAATACCCTCCTGAGGGCTCCCCCTTGGGGTGCCCAGATGCAAGGCCTGCTAGATCGCGATGAGCAGTGGACCACCACACGAGAATAGTCTGGGGGGCCGAACCATACAAACCGCCTGAGACATCCCGACAGTATGGGCCCGAACGGGCCCCTGCAATACCCCCCTGGCTCCATCCCCCTTTGGGGTGCCAAAATGCCACGCCTGCTACTGTGCCCATGTACATCGCTGTGGATAGTGGACCGACACAAGAGACATGGCTGGGGACAGAAAGAGGCAAACCCCCTGGGATATCTCGACAATCTGGGTGCGAATCCCGGAGTGCCCGTCCCTCTTAGGGTGCCCAAATGCTCCAGAGGTCTGGATTAATGATGTTCCAACC